TTTTTTTTTTTTTTTTTGTAGATTAGAAGCCCTTTTTTGTGGATTAGATGTTACAACTACTCATCTCATAAAAGATTTCTAATTTGCATCTCTCTGATTATTAGCGATGCTGAGCATTTTTTCATGTCTACTGGCCATCCATATGGCCTCTTTGGAGAAGTGTTGATTCAGGTGCTTTGCCCATTTTTTTAATTGGATTGTTTGTCTTCCTGGTGTTGAGTTGTATAAGTTCTTTCTATATTTTGGAAATTAACCCCTTATTGGATGTATCATTGGCAAATATGTTCTCCTATTCAGTGGGCTCCTCTTCCATTTTTCAACAGGATAGTTGATATTTCTCATGCAACAGTAGATGAGTGGTGCATGATGTTACAACCCCTCATTTCTCCTTTAAGAAAGGAAATAATAACTTTGCTAGTTTTTAGCAAGAAAAGTGGTATTTCTCGTTTTTGTGTTTGTAGATAAAAGACTCATAATGATACAACTCTAATTTCTCTTTTAAGAGAGGAAATACTTACTTTCCTGAGTTTTGAGTAGAAGAGGTAATATTTCTACAGTCCTCGTATTTGTAGATGACAGCCTCATGATGATACAACCTCTCATTTTTTCATTACAGGTGGAAATCAGCTCTGGATGGTGTGACTCAGTTAGTTGGGCATCATCTTGTACACTAAGGGGTTGTAGGTTCAATTCCCAGTCAGAGCACATGCCCAGGTTGGGGGCTGGATCCCTGGTAGGGGTGTGCAGGAGGCAGCCGATCAATGTTTCACTCTCACATAGATGTTTCTCTTTCTCCCTTCCTCCCTCTCTAAAAATCCATTTTTTAAAAAAGAGTAGAGATAATAACTTTGCTGGTTTTGAGCAATAAGTTGATATTTTTCCAGTTCTTTTTGTAGATGAGGGGCTCACAATATTACCTCATTTCTTTCTTAAGATAGGAAATATTTTTCTAGGTTTTGAGCAGGAATGGTGATATTTCTCCAGTCCATGTCCTTGTAGATGAGGGTTCATGAAGTTATAACCCTTCATTTTTTCTTTTTTGTAAGAAAAGAATACTAACTTTGCTTGTTTTTGAGCAGGAAAGGTGATATATCTCCAGGTCTTTATGTGTGTGTGTGTGTAGATGAGAAGCTTATGATTTCTCTCATTTCTTCCTTAAGAGAGGAAATACTAACTTTGCTGATTTTTGAGCAGGAAAGGCGATATCTTTTTTTAGTCCTTTACTTTGTAGATGAGGGGCTTATAATATTACAACCCCTCATTTCTTCCTTGTGAAGAAATACTAGCTTTGCTGGTTCTTGAGCAGGAGAGGTGATATTTCTCCAGTAGTTGTAGATGAGGGGCCCATTATGTCCCAACCGCTCATTTCTCTTTTAAGATAAGATGGCATTGGCACACTGCTTATCAGTCAAATTATCACAGCTGCTACATTTTTTTATAGCCACCCTGCACAGGTTTTTGTTTTCACAATATCTGGAAATGGCCTAGGAGAAGAAATCAAATAGAGCACAGGTACGTTAAAAATAACAGAGTTCCAGCCTTAACAAAGAAAGCATCACTGATAAGCTACACATTCCTCACTTCTTTATATAGATTATAGTTACTGCCTTGCCTCTTTGGATAGCTGTCGTCTACACTGCTAGGTTCTTGGGACTTTATGCTAATTCACTAAGGTAAGTCTTTAGGGACTATGATTAGATTACCAGAGCAAAAGGGAACTTAGAACTTTTTGAAGTTTGGGTTTTCTCAATGATGTCAAAGGAGTGATAGGCTGCTAACGATATCACCTGTTGCCTGTACACTTGGTTCCTTAAATATAAAAAACATACACTTGGGCAAAATCAGTGTTTACTCAGCTATTTAAATTCTATCCAATCTTTATTAGTTATTATCTACTCTAAGCAAATTGTAATGAGGCAGGCATGTGTTGTACTTTATTGAAAGGTAGGAAAGGTCTAATGATTGAAGCACCATGAGGTACAGTTTCACTTACACATTAATTATGGTAGAAACACGCCGTTTTCTAAAGTACCATCAAAGTCCCACAGAAAGTGTCCAATTCAGTTGTGAATAATTTTATTGTATATTCACCAAAAGTCATAAGCCCTTAAACATTATTTTGTTCCATGTACTCTATTATTTCCATTAAAAGCCCATGTACTTTCTACACCAAATATTTGAAACACATATTCTACAATCTAAGTGTACATCTCTCAGGTTAGCTTTATCTAACAAACTCACAGGACCGAAAAGACATGAATTTGCAAACTGAATTAAGAGTGGTAAGTAGGCTATGTTTGTAGATATGATTAGTGATACAATTTTAAAAAATTATTCATGTATGTTTAGAAAAAAGAACACAGTTTCCAAAAAACCCATCAAAGATTAAATTTGACTTCAAATATTCTGAATCAAGGTCACAGAGAGATACTTTTTTTATAATGTGGGATTCTTACACAAACCATAAAAGATACCGGAAATCTGATGTGAAAGAGTTAATAAGTCGTCTTCACTTGTCAGTTTAAAAAACTTTCATTTTCCTAATCACTACACAATCTGATTTATCCACAGATATTGGTTTTAGTGTCTGGTGAAAACCCCACTCTGATTCCACAGCCTTACCTCTAGGGTCTGTGCTCTTCCTTTTCGCAGAGGAGCAAATACAATAGGCAGTCCATGGTCACCTGCTAAGGACCGAAGGTCAAAATAGTATTTGGCATAGACACTGGCAGAGACATTAAGATGAAACTGTAGTAAATATAAATATTGCCTTTCCATCTCATTTCTGGGGGAGAAGGAAAACACAAAACCAACACAGGACAATTTTAATCAACTTGTCTATCTTCAAAATTACCATTCTAAGCTACTAAGATGACTCTGAGTTTTGTTTTGAAACAAATAAAGGCTACCCAGCTGTCCTAAGGCACTAATGTTCAGACACACAAACAAGGTACAGCTATTTGTGGTCCCTTTTGCATCCCAGCACTTTGAGCTTGGGACAATGGGGAGGAGGCCTCTCTTGTGCACTCCTGCTGCTGACTCAGGGCTCATTCATCAGTGCCATTGGTGCAGCTGGAGATTCATGCTCCTCGCTCACTCACAAGGCCCCACTACAGTGTTAGATGAAAAGAATGATGCATGCTGTTTCTTAGCTCTGAAGAACTTGCAGACATTTTCACCAGGCCGGTAACAGGAAGGGGCTTATTAAAGTAGAGATGTGCCAGCAAAAGGAGTGGGCACATCACCATGGCAACCAATGGATCCATTGAGAGCCACCACTATTATCTCTGGGGGGGGAAAACACGAGGCAACAAGGATTCATCTCTAATAAATAAATAAATATGCCACATTCAATGGGAAAGGGAACCCCTCCCCCTCCAAAAAGGCATGGGGCTAATGTTAAAGAGCATATGGAAGCTTCTGTTCACCTTAATCTTACTGGGATGAGAAACTGTCACTATTTAACTGGATGCACTTTTAAAACTCTGGAAGGCAGAAAGATTAAAGATAGATGTCTTGGCTGGACTAAGCTCACTTTATGATATGGTCTCTAATAGAGCACTGGAGTAAAATTCAAATAGTGTTCTCCCATGTTGGGAATGCAATCCTGAGATGTTCAGCATCCCCTGGCCCTTGGCAGAACATAAGGGGAACATTCCTACGTGGGGGAATTCAATAAAGTGGGAAAGGAAATTTGGAAGCAGTCCTTTTGCTATGTGACCATACTGCTGTCTCTGACAAGTAATTAAATAAATATAAAATTAGAGTAAATTGTACTAATTCCAGTCATCCCTCAATAGAGTTAATTAATAAAATGAGAAATACCTGAACATGAGAGAGGCTTTTTAAACATATTTGGTTTCTTAGTTTTAACATTTTAATATTTTATCCCTTGGCTAGGTCAACAAAAGCTCAATGTTCTGCGTGGAGAGCAGTCAAAATATGGACACAGATGAGGTTCTCTGACTTGTTAAACTTTAAACCTAACTGAACCTACCTCCAAATTAATTCCCTGTTCATATGGCCATAAGTCCATAGAAATGTAAATCAGATAATGTTTTGATAATCAGCTAAACAGGACTTAATTTACTACAGGAATAGATGCTCTTTACTATCCCTTTTGTATTTTCTTCACTAATACATGTTAATTGTGAAGAAATACGGTACTGTCATAGGATCACCATGTCTATTAATAGAGGATTAATAATGGAAGAAAAGCATAATGCCTACAGATTATGCATCATCTAGTTTTGTTTTGCTTTTTTTTTTGTTTTTCAATGGCTAGAAGGCTGAATGGCATACCATTTACAGGCACAGCAAATTTTCTGAATAGCAGCTGCTCAGTTTAACTTATTCTTGTGAAGGGAAATAATATTCTAAAAAGATACATAGAAGTTGGAAAGTTTTAAGAAAAAGCTGATAGACACCAATATTTCAATTTAGACTCAAAGAAGACCATTACAAATAGTAGTCAACAGATACCTGGGCCCAGGGTGTAGAGGTCCAGGCAGATTCGGGGTGTGTCAGACACTGAGTTGTGTGGCTCTGGGGCAAGAGACATTTACCCCACCTTCCTGAGAGCCTAACCAGTGCCACCACCCCCATAGGAGATCCACTAGCCCCACTATCCAGAATACTGGAGACCTTGCCCCATCCAGCTTGGGGCCTGTAAGAGGTCTTAGTTAAATACAGGACAGACTGAGTTGTGTGACTCCAAGTCAGGGGCCAATTTTCCCTCATATACTCAGCTGGCACAGAGCCAGTCCTTCACATGGCTAAATTCTGGTCTCTTTGGGCCAGATAAACTCTGTTTATGGACCCCCCCAGAAGACTCCTTGAGACCCCACCCCACTGAAAAGATCTGTAGGCACCCAGCATTTGGCAGCTGGCCTTGGTACACCCTGGGAATTTTTTTCTGAGTGGCTTGAGACTCAGAACTGGCACCAAAGTTGAATATGTATCAGTCTGGTGAACACCACTCACTCACACCTGATGACTTGCTGAGAATCTACCTAACACAACTAAGTACCACCAGAGGCTCTTCGGTGACTGAGCCTAGCAGTCAGCCTATAGGTAGAGGCAGGGGAAGGCAGATCTTAGAATGCCTTCGGCCTTTTGCTGACCTGCACCAAACTTGGTAGAAGGTATCCTTGGTGAGCAGCTTGGCTCTTCACATATACACCCAATCAAAGCATGGGCAGTCACAAACTGTGGATTACTTTGTAGCTCCAAGATGATTGCCCAGAGCCAGTCACAGGCAGTGCCTGACACTGACCTGCATCAAGTCCCTCCCAAGAAACCTCAGACCCAACACACCCAGTGGCAAACTTTAGACAATATCAGAAAAGGATTCAATTACCTCCACAAGTGGCATATCCAAAGAGAGATCTCGAGAAGCACTAGACCCTACTGTAGTGAATTCTGCTTTGTGTGGTAAGCTCCTGCACAGCAGCTTGTACACTGTGGTTGAGGTCAATCCTCACAGCCAGCCAGCCAGCCTGAAGGTCAGCCCCATGCATAGATGGGCCAGCAGCAATCAAGACTTAACTACAACAGAAGGGCTTACATAAGCCACACAAGAAACATTCCTGGAGCACCCAGCTCAGGTGATAAAGGAGACTATGCCACTGGGTCCCACAGGAATACTACTACATAAGGCCATCCTACCAAGACTGGGAGACATAGCAAATTGACCTAATACACTGAAACAAATACAGAGAGGCAGCCAAAATGGGGAGACAAAAAAATATCCCAAATGAAAGAACAGAAGAAATCTCTAGAAAAAGAACAAAATAAAATGAAGGCAAGCAATCTACCAGATACAGAGTTCAAAAGAATGGTTATAAGGATGCTCAAGAAACTTAGTGAGAATTTCAACAGCATGAAAAAGGACCTAGAATCATAAAAAAGAACCAGTCAGAAAGGAAGACTACAATATCTAAAATGAAGACTACACTTGAAAGAATAAACAGATTAGATGAAGCAGAGGATTGAATTAGTGATTTGGAAACAAGGTGCAGAAAAAAATCAAAGCAACAAAAAGAAAAAAAATGTAAAAAATGAGAATAATCTAAAAGAAACCTGGGACAACATGAGTATAGCAATATCAACATCATAGGGATACCAGAAGGAGAACAGAAAGGGAGCAAGTGATTGAAAACCTATCTGAAGAAATAATGACTGAAAATTTCCCTAACCTGGTGAAGGGAAAAGACACAGAAAGTCCAGGAAGTTCAGAGTCCCAAACAAGATGAACCCAAAGAGGCCCACACCAAAACACATCATAATTAAAATGGCAAAGGTTAAAGACAAAGAGAAAATCTTAAAAGCAGCAAAAGAAAAACAATTACTTACCTACAAGGGAGCTCCCTCCCAAAAGACTGTCAACTGATTTCTCAACAAAAACATTTCAGGCCAGAAGGGTTGGCAAGAAATATTCAAAGTGATGAAAAACAATCATCTACAACCAAGACTAGTCTACTCAGCAAGACTATCATTTAAAATTGAAAAAGAAAAAAAGAACCTCCTAGACAAAAGAAAGCTAAAGGAGTTCATTAACATCAAACCAGAATTACAAGAAATGTAAAGGGTCTTCTTTAAAAAGATGAAAGAAAAATAAGCATAAAGAATAAAATGGCACTAAATACATAACTGTCAATAATCACTTTAAATGTAAATGGCTTGAATGTTCCAATCAAAAGACATAGGGTAGCTGACTGAATAAGAATACAAGAACCATATAAAGAATGCTGCCTACATGAGACCCACCCACCTCAGAATGAAAGACACACACAGACTGAAAGTAAATGGATGGAAAAATATATTTCATGTAAATATGGAAGTAAAAAAAACTGGTAGAAATACTTCATCAGACAAAATAGACATTACAACAAAGGCTATAATAAGAGACAAAGAGGGATGCTACATAATGATAAAATGATCAATCCAACAAGAGGATATAACCCTTATAAACATTGATACAACCATCATAGGGGCACCTAAATATATAAAGCAAATCTTGATGGATGTAAAGAAAGAGATCCACAGTAATACAGTCATCATAGAAAATTTTAACACTGCATTGACATAAATGGATAGATCTTCCAGACAGAAAATCAACAAGGAAATAGCCACCTTAAATGACACAGTAGACCATGTAGTTTTAATTGATATTTTCAGAACATTTAACCTCAGAGACGCAGAATATTCATTATTTTCAAGAGCACATTGAGTATTTTCTACAATAAACCACATGTGAGGACACAAAACAAGTCTCAATAAACTTAAGAAAACTGAAATCATATTAAGCATCTTCTCCAACCACAGAGCATTATACTAGAAGTCAATTACAAAATAAACTGAAAAACACACAAACACAGAGGCTAAATAGCATGTAACTAAACAATAAATGGGTTAATAAGATCAAGAAAGAAATCAAAAGATACCTTCAGACAAATGAAAATAAAAACACAACCACCCAAAATCTATTAAACATACCAAAATCAGTTCTAAGAGGGAAATTCATAGCATTACAAGCTCACCTCAAGAAACAAGAAAAATCTCAAATAAACAATCCAACCTTACACCTAAAGGAACGAGTAAAAGAACAATAAACAATTCCTAAAGTGAGTAGAAGGAAGGAAATAATAAGAACCAGAGCGGAAATAAAGAAAATAAAAATGTAAAAAATACAAAAGATCAATAAACCAAGATCTGGTTATTTGAAAAAATAAACAAGATAGATAAACCTTTAACCAGATTCATCAAGAAAAAGAGAACCCAAATAAGTAAAAGCAGTAATAAAAGAGGAGTAGGAAGAACTGACACCACAGAAATAAAAAGGATTATAAGAAAATATCATGAACAATTATATTGCAAATTAGACAATATAGAAGAAATAGATAAGTTCCTCAAAATATAAAAAAGAAATAGAAAATCTGAACTGACTTATTACAGCTAATGAAATCTAAGCTGTAATAAAAAAAAAAGCTTCCAACAAACAAAGGGCCTGGACATAATGACATCACAGGTAAATTTTACCAAACATTCAGGAAAAACTACCACCAATCCTTCTCAACCTATTCCAAAAAATTTAAGAGGATTCAAGAGTCCCAAGCTTATTTTATGAGGCCAACATTATCCTAATTCCAAAGCCAGATAAAGACACTACAAAGAAAGAAAATTAAAGTACAGTATTCTTCTTGAAAATATATGCAGAAATCTTCAACAAAATATTAGCAAACTGAATTCAGCAGTACATTAAAAAGATCATACACCATGGTCAAGTGAAATTTATTTCTGGGATGCAAGGTTGGTACGATATCTGAAAATCAATTAACATGATACATCACATAAACAAAATGAAAGATAAAACCATATGATCATATCAATAGATGCAAAAAAGAATTTGACAAAATCCATACCCATTATGATAAAAAACTCTCAGCAAAGTAGAAATAGATGGAGCATATTACAACGTAATAAAGCCCACATAAGACAAACACACAGATAACATATACTCAATGAAGAAAAACTCAAATAGTTTCCCTTAAGATCAGGAACAAGACAGGGATGTCTACTTTCATCACTCTTATTCAAAATAGTACTGGAAGTTCTAGCCACAGAAATCAGACAATAAGAAGAAAAAAAAGGCAACCAAATTAGAAAGGAAGAAGCAAAACTGTCATTATTTGCAGATTACATGATACTGTGTATAAAGAACCCTAAAGATTCCAGCAAAAATCTACTACAGCTGATAAATGAATTCAGTAAAGTAGCAGGATACAAAGTAAATATCCATAAATCAGTTGCATTTTTATACACCAATAATCAACTTTCAAAAAAGGAAACTAAAGGAAACTAAAAAACAATCCCATATACATTTGCATCAAAAACCCCCCAAATACCATGGAATAAATTTAACCAAGGAGGTAAAAGACCTGTACTCAGAAAATTATAAGACAGTGAAGAAAGAAACTGAAGAAGATACAAATAAATGGGAGCATATGCAATGCTCATGGAAAGGAAGAATTAACATCTTTAAAATGTCATACTACCCCCAAAGCAATCTATAGATTCAATGCAGTTTCTATCAAGATACCAATGGCATATTTTACAGAAGTAGAACAAACAATCCAAAATTTTATATGGAACCACAAAAGACCCAGAATAGTCACAGCAATCTCAAGAAAAAAACCCACAAAAACATGTTGGAGGTATCACACTATCTGATATCAAACTACACTACAAGGTTATAGTAATCAAAACAGCATGGTACAACCCTGGCTGGTCTGACTCAGTTAGTTGGGTGTTGTCCCATGCACCAAAAGGTTGCTGATTTGATTCCTGGTCAGGGCACATGCCTGGGTTGTGGGATCGATTCCCACTAGAGGTTGTGCAGGAGGAAGCTGATCAATGTTCTACTCTCACATCGATGTTTCTCTTTCTCCCTCTCCCTTCCTCTCTTTCTAAGAATCAATAAAATTTTTTTTAAAAAACCAGCAAGGTGCTGGCATAAAAACAGACATATAGATCAATGGACCAGAATAGAGAGCCCAGAAATAAGCCCATGCCTATACTGTCAATTAAAATTTAACAAAGGAGGCAAGATCATACAATGGGTAAAGATAGTCTATTCAATAAATGGTGTTGGGTAAACTGGAAAGATATACAAAAAAATGAAACCAGACCACCTTCTCTTACACCATATACAAAAATAAACTCAAAATGGATTATTAACTGAAATATAAGATTCAAAACCATAAAACTCCCAGAAGAAAACATAGGCAGTAAAATATGGAACATTTCTTCTTAGTAATAGTTGTGTGTTTTTTTTTATAAAGCACCTCAAGCAAGTGAAACAAAAGAAAAAATAAACAAATGGGACTATACCAAACTAAAAAGTTTTAACACATCAAACGAAAACATCAACAAAATAAAAGACAACCTACTGATGGAAAAACATATTTGACAATAATATAAGGGATTAATATTGAAAATTTATAAAAAACTTAGACAACTCATGCCCGAGTTGTGGGCTCGATTCCTGGCAGGGGGCATGCAGGAGGAAGCTGATCAATGTTTAGCTCTCACATTGATGTTTCTCTCTCTTCACTCTCCCTTCCTTCCTCTCGCTCTCTAAAGGAAAAATCAATTAATAAAAATCTTTTAAAAAATTTAAAACATGCAACTCAACACCAAAAAATAAACAATCCAATTAAAAAATGGACAGAGGATCTGAACTTCTCCAAAGAAGACATACAGGTGGCCAATAGACATATGAAAAGATGCTTAACATCACTAATAATCAAAGAAATGCAAATTAAAACCACAATGAGATATCATCTCACACCTATCAGAATTGCTATCATCAATAAATCAACAAACAGCAAGTGTTGTCGAGAACATGTAGAAAAAGGAACCTTTGTGCACTTTTGGTGGGAATGTAGATTGGTGTAGTCACTGTGGAAAACAATACGGAGTTTCTTCAAGAAATTAAAAATGGAACTACCTTATGACTCAGTGATTCCACTTCTGGGTATATAAGAGAAGAAACCCAAAACACTAATTCAAAAGAATATGTGCACCCCTGTGTTCAATGCAGCATTATTTACAATAGCCAAGCTATGGAAGCAACCCAAGTGCCCATCAATAGATGAGTGGATAAAAATGTGGTGGAATATTACTCATCCATAAAAAAGAATTAAATCTTACCATGTGTGACAGCATGAATGGACCAACAGGGTATTACACTGAGTGAACTAAGTCAGTCAAAGTAATACAAATACCCTATCATTTCGCTTATATGTGGAATGTAAAGAACAATATAAACAAAAAAAACAGAAGCAGACTCATAGATACAGAGAACAGGCTGATGGTTGCCAGAGGGGAAGATGGTTGGGGGCCGAGTGAAAAAGGTGAAGGGATTGAGAAGTTCAGATTGGTAGTTACAAAATAGTCGTGGGGAAACAAAATAAACCATAGGAAATATAGTCAATAACATTGTAATACCTATGTATGGTGCCAGGTTGGTACTGAAAATATTGGGGAAAATACTTTGTAAAGTATATGATTTTCTAACAACTATGTTGTACACCTGAGACTAATACAAAATAATATTGAGTATAAAGTTTTATTGAAAAAAATAAATAAGTAAATAGTAAAAAAGAGGGAGGTGGGAAAGGACTAGAACTGGTAGACGGCTTTGAGAAAGCCATGAAGATATTTATAGTACTATTGTTCTTGGGAGTGAGTTTGTACAGTGTTTGCCAATAACCACCAGAGAAATACATTTCATATTATCACGCAGATTATTACAATAACACATGAAGGTCTACTAATTAATGAGGAGGAATATGAATTGTTATAGCAAATGTAGATAGAAAAATGTATGTAATTTTATGCCTAGTTCAATTCTCTGCACAACGTAACCTTTAAAAATATGTCTTAATATGTAAGCTTTATGGGGGCAAATAAGGTATTGGAAAATATTTAGAAAGTCTACCAAAGCCTTGCAAACTCACATGTCCTTGACTGTAATGCCCTTGATAATTTGGCAGAAGTCCGAATTCCATATAGCCAGATCATGCAAATACTTGGAGGCAAGAAGAATGGCTCCCAAAACAATTCTTTTCCAGTTTGTGGGGCAAATGTCGATCTCAGCATAAACTACAAGTCTTTCTAAGTAAACCTGCAAAAGTAGGACACTTGTCTTTGATTTTAGTACAGTTTAAGTGCTGTGATAAGAACCATTAGGAATGACAGATTTCATCTGTTTTTGATATGTTTTTTATTCTTAGACTCTACAAAGACTGCTTGGCCAGCCAAAGCCAGAGGGCAAGTCACAGTTGCAAATCAGATACTTCTGTTGCCTATTTTGTCCATTTGAATTTCCAGGCCAACTTTTGATCACAGGAATGAATGGACCTCTTAGCAAAGGAGTTCCTGAAGAAATGTTATTACCTTTCCACTTGTAAAGGGAATAGTGTAGGTACTTGAGTGCCTACCATGTGCAATGTTTCATACCTGGCTAGTAGTTATATGGTGACTAATACTTGATTATGTAAATCTCTGGTAATATTGAGCACATCTGTATCTTCTTTATACAGTAACTAGTCCTTTTGTGGCACAAGCTGAATATAAAACCTGGTTGTCAAGAGAGACCCTAGTGGCTGATGTGTGGTGCAGCAGGACAGGCAGTAAAAACAGGTGTGCTTGAGGCAGGTCCTTACAGCTGTCCAGTATTCCCAGACTTAGTGCCTTTGTAAGAAACACAAAGGCATACAAAGAATAGTCCTTCCATATCCCCTAAGCTTCACATCTCCCTTATCATTATATGAAACTCATTTCTGTCTTACACAATTGGAAGCTTAGTCAATTCTGTTGGTTTAGGTGGTAACAGAGTTGCCAGTCTCTGTATCCCTGGTACTCCTCTAAACCTGCCAGGTAGCTAGTGAGGTTTCATGAATTCTTTCACATGTGTTGAATGTCTATTCTACAAAGAACTGGGTGAAGTTAACAGCTAAGTAAAGATTATAGAGGCAAGCAGTGATTTGTTGTTACCTCAAGGGATGCTTTGCAGAAGGGTATGTATGCCATTGACAAAAAG